TTTTTGTTTGTTTTTTAGAATAGCTGGTCAAAAAAAAAAAAAGCCACTCTATTGAATTGTTAACTTTCTAAATGATGACGTAAGAATGGCGTCAACCAAACCTCTTTCAGCAAGTGACTGGAATGGATCTGGGATCGTTCTTATTGATGGGATGCCATTCTTTGGACTACTCTTGATAACATACAAAAGTAAGTTAGTTGTCAATTTTTTTCTCATCTACTTGAATCATGGAATGTGGGAAACGCCCAATCCAGATTTCTGGAACTCTCACAGCGTCTGTAGTGTAAGGCCGCTGCACTGGCCAACTAGTAAATGCATCAGCAGTCTTGGCGTGTAAGACCCCATAGTAATGATGGCAGCAGCTGCAAGCTGTGGCAGGTCGTATTGGTGGGACATTTGAGACGCTCCAGAGAGCAGGGTTAGAGCAAGAGTCGAAGGAGGATTAGTGAATCTGAAATGCCATGACCACTGGAGAGAAAGTTTAGCTTTAGTTCCTAAAAGGATCATCATCATTGCTGTTGCAATACTTTGATGTATTAATGGTTTTAATCATAATTGTTCTTAAGACGTAGTACTATCTGTTCACCTATCAATACTGCGTATGACATTGTTTTTGGGTACAGCGTTCAGTGGAAAAATGAAGGGCATATCCCATTGTATTCTAAAAGTGATGTAGGGATTCTCTGTATCTCTTAGCCCTCGGTATCCACATCTCTCGCTGGCTTAGGAGTAAGTTCTGCTAAAGTAAGTCTTAGTGTCAGATAGGAAGGAATGCGGTATCAGTGACTTAACTGATGCTATGTGTTTGTCCCAGAGCATGTTTCCCAAAGCACAGTAGGTAAAGTGTGTGCATGTAGTTAGGAGAGGCTATGCCATGCTGTGGTAACTAATCAGGTAGAGTAACATATGTTTAGTTCCTGTTCAGGTAAAGTCTCCTGTGGGTCCAGGTAAGCTTTCAGGCCAGCTGGCCCCAAGTGTGGTGATTCAGTAATCTAAGATGCTTCAGTCCTGTAGCTTCACCATTTCAGTGTAAGGACTCCTCCTTTTCTGCAAGCTGCTTCTCCTTTTCTGCAAGAAAAAACTTGAGACAGAAATGTGTGGGAGCATTTCACTGCTCAGCCCAGATGTGACACATTTATTTGGTGGTCAAAATTTGTCACATGGCTTCACGTGACTGCCAAGGGGCTGGGAAATATGGTCTCTCGTATATTTCTTTCCTTCCTCTCTTCCTGGGTTGGGGGAAAGAAAAAATGGATATTCTTGAGGGCATTCGTAAGTGTTGCGTCCCATGGTACATGAGGTAATTTTAAGTCGTGCAGAGATAAAGTTTTACAATTTTTGTTGGTTTCCACATGTGTTTCAGAAAATATCAGTAGCACATGAAGCCCATGAAGTAATGATTTCATTTTGTATAAATTTAAGTTAAATTTTAATTGCAAACACTATGCTATTATGATAAAAATGGTGAGAGTAGCTAACAGATGTCTAATGTTTTGACAACACTGACCTAGAGGAACCACTGTAAAACTCAAATTTTAGTATGTACAACATTAGGCAAGCTGCGACTATCAGGTGGGGCATAGGAATGTGTTCTTTTAGCAAATACCCTGTATGATTCAGCAGCAGATTGTCTGGACCACATACTGGGAAGGATTATTTCAGAGGCCAGTTGCTCTTCTGCTACTAAATGGAGAACCAGTGACAGAATCCAGGTGGGGGAGCCTGGAAATCCTGTTGAGTACTCTGCTCCGCCCACCCCTTTTGTCCCGTCACTACCATGGTGTGACCCTAGCAACAAAGGGTTAAGATTTTGGAATGAAACATTTGACCTGGCAGGCAATACCTTCAGAATTGCCATGTCCCAGGACTCCTGGGTGGCTCAGTTGGTTAAGTGTCTAACTCTGTTGTCTCAGGTCGTGATTGCATGGGTGGTGAGATCGAGCCCTGTGTTGGGCTCCTCGCTCAGTGGGGAGTCTGCTGGAAGATTCTCTCCTTCTGCCCATCCCCTCACTCATGTGTGCGCTCTCTCTTCTCTCTCTAAAATAAAGAAATCTTAAAAAAAAAAAAAAAAGAATTGCCATTTCCCTTTTTACCTGGTTTTCCATGTTGTCTAATGCGGTTCAAACTGGCAGTCTAGCTCCTCTGATTGGTAATACCAATAGATACTGTTGCTAGTCCCAAAGCTCTTCAGTTCACTGAAGCTATTCATTCAACGTGGCAGGTCAGTTTTGTTATTTAACTGTTTTTTTTCTATTTCCATGTTTCGCAAGGGTTCCTCAAAATCTCTCCCACGAAGGGTAACGTGTCATGATGTCCTGGTTTGTCTATAATGTATTTGGTTTGTATGTGGTTATTAATAGAAGGCTCTTTTACTCTTAAAACATGTCTTGTTTGGATGATAAATTATACGGTGACCCTGCTCCTCAGGGTCCTTCTTATTTTATTTTATGATGCAAATGACTGATTTCGTCTCAGAGACTCTTCATTCCATCGATAGTGGCCAAAACCACATGGGGGCAGCTGTGGCTATGGTTAGTTCTGGATGTTTAGAATTTTTAATAATTTCGTTTTTTTCTTTTGGCATCATCTTTAGATTATAGACTAGAGAGGAAGGTAGAAGGATGTACGGAGGAATTAAAGGGAATAAGCAAAGGCATTGATGACTGAAGGATAAACCAAAACACATTTCGAGAAGCCCAAAGGAGCTCATTATTCTGGCACGTACTTCAAGGTGCCTATCTGAATCTGAAGGATGACACGGAACACCAAAGATGAACCTCTGTATGTAGCTTGTACGTATGTAACAGACATCTGTAACATTTATTGTCTCATTGACATTGATGGTATGAATTTTGTATCCTAATGAAATGGTTGTAATGTCTTACATGGCCTCAGGTCCGTAACAGAGTTAGAACAGGCACTACACAATTTTAAGTGGAATTTCAGTTGTATGAGCCTAGACATATATTTGTAATAAAAGTTATATGCTCTACATTTACTTTTCCTGGAATCGTACCATTAGATAACAGATGTAAAAGCTGCTATTTACTTTCTAGTTACTTCAATTCTGGAAGAGAGCAAAAGAGGATTCCAAAGGTACATTATATCACACTTAGAGCAACCTTTAGGTCTGTAGCTCATCAGACTGGCTTTTAAAATATGCAAGCGCCTACAGAGACCACCCCAGGTTAAAAGTCTCTAAATACTTCACGTTGCTCTACTGTTAAATAATGTTTAGAGTTTGTTATCTTTTGTAGACCTTGGAAATCTAATTATTTATAATATCCAGTGACATTTACATTTTACTAAAATATACTCTGCTTGTAATAGAACATATCATGCTTAGGAAAATGGGTAGATAATGCCTGGCTCTACGTTTGCTTATATATAATGCAAAATATCAGGGTAACCTCTGTTCTCTTTTTGTTACAATCATACGATTTTAAACACATAATTCTCAAGAAGTGCCCTTAACCGGTACCATTTAAAAACAATAAGAAAAGTTGTAGCTGAGAATCATTTGTTTACCATTTAACTCTTGACTATCAAATCACATACCTATTCAAGTTTATTGGTCTCTTAAAATAGTGACATTCATTTCCATGCCAACAGCTACAGAGTGTTTGGTTTAGTTTTTGAGATTGATTGAAAGTAGATTGTAAAGTTGACCTGTTGTGTTAAGCTTATTTACACAAACATAGTGTCTTGGAAAACAAACTCTGAAAGTGCATAGCGGGAGAATTTCACATTCTGAGTCTTCTAATACCTGCTTTACTGGGATCTGTCACATAGAGAACCCAAACTTTTCCATAGGTACCTTACCTAGGAGAAAATGACTTCAGAATGTATTCTTAAACTTGGGCTGAAATTTATGACTTGCTTTAAAAAAAAAAAAGGATTTGCTTTTAATCGGTTTGAGGAATTTGCCTAAGTAAAATAATTTTTTTAGTATTAACACATTTATGAAACAATCACAGGTGACTTTTTTTTTCCAGGCTCTTGAAACATACTTTCCGTCCGAGAGTTGAAAATAACATTTCTAAGATGTAATCAATAATTTTAAAAAAGCCATAAATGTGAAGAAAAAAAAAGAACCACCCACAATTTCAGTGGAAACTGAAAAAAATCAGTTTGGGTGCTGGATGGCGGCAAATAGATTATTTAAAATGAATTTGCATTTATTCAAGGGTTAATCTTGGTGAGTGAGCATTTAAAAGCCCTTCCTGGTGCTCCATCCTCTTCTGTTGTATATACCCCAGTAATCAGCCTATTATATAGATCATTCTCCCTCCTGATCCGTCTTCCCCATCAAAGCTTGGACTTGTCTCCTGCGCTGAGTGACGTGGGGCCAGTAATACTGGGAGGGCGGGTGGGAGCAGGGCACGTGGACCAGAAACACTTCCTAGAAACAGCTCAACCCCGCCTGAACTTTCCCTGTAAACACGGCTCGCTGACAGAACGGCATCCCTGCTGGGTGGATCCTGCAACTCCTAGAGGGAATGGCACTTCTTGCTTTTAATTAGCAAGGTGAAAGGTGGATTAAAACTAGCTGTTTTGCAAGTCAGTGCAAGAGACTGACTTTGGAGAGGCTTCAGGGAGCCAGAAGAGAAGAGCTCCACGGGGAAAGCAGTGCGTGTGCTCCCGGGTTTTTTTCTGAATGAAGCGCTTGCAGAAGTGACTAAAAAAAAAAAAAATACAGTTTCCTCCTGAGTCTACTGGCATAGTTGCTGAAGAGAGCTCTGGACTGGACATGGCTCTGAAGGCTCACTCCTTGGAATGTCCTCTTGCTCCCGGCTTATAAACAACTGTCTTCAGGGAAGAAAGGTTTTACATATCCAAATACAGCCTGACAAATGGCACTTTGGGACTGTGCTTTCTGATGACAACGCGTTCGATTTCTGACAAAGCCTCTCACGCGCTGCCCCTGGAGGGGAGTCCTAAGTAAAACTCAGACCCGCCTTAAAGTGAGGATCAGAGGGGTGCCCGGTGTGCACGGCAGCATGGCATCGGCTGCAAACCTTGTCACCCGGCTCCTGTGGGCTTACTTACTGGAGCTTTGGATAGGAGGGCACACGGCTGATACCACTCACCCCCGCTTACGTCTGTCACATAAAGGTAGGTCACCTTTATAGATCCTTTTGTTAAAAAAAAAAAAAAGAGCGAGAGAAATTACTTTAACACAGACCCTTAAAATGCAGCTGAAAAGAATTATTGCAAAACTGACCTAAGATTCTAAGTACCTGTAATTAGCATGTCAATACTTAACCACACCTGAAAATAGTGCAAAATCGCATGCCAACTTAGAGATGTTATTTTTGTCTTGTAAATATTAGGTTGTATTAATGAGAAGTTCACTCTCTAGCAGACACAACAGAAGCGAGCAGGAAGCAGGTTGTAAATAGCCTTGTGGGGCTGAATCCACCAAGTTAGCAGTAGGTATTTGAATACCAATTTATGCATTTTGGGAAGCAAGGACGTGGGAGAAGGGCTTTAGAAATAGAGGTGCAATTGATTTTGGTTTTGTGTTGTCCATAATGGGGATGAGAGGAGGGGAAAAGAAGCAAAATGATTTCCTACCCAGGATCACAGTCATCACCATGTAATTAAAATGACTAACAAGTAATATAAATTAGCTTTTTAGTCAAACTGATTATTAGAATTTCTTTCATGTCTGGCGAAAAAATATTCAGAGTTTATTAGCAATCCTTGTAAACTGACTTATATATGATTAAAGTGTCAGGATACGATTCACTAGCATCTAGTCTTTTAATGTAAATTCATATTGCTTCACTGAAGATCTGTCAGAAAGTGCTTAAATATTTTATTCTGCAGCTATGTCTTGGAAAGCAGCATTTGGTCATAAATAAATTATCAAAAGATAGCTTTTGCATCAGGACCAGCAAAAGCCAGTCATGAATAGGTTTGGTGATTCTTCCTGTAAACAAACAAACAAAACCCACATGTAGAGAAAGTGACTGCTGACCTAAAAGTAATTTGGAATACATTTTTCAGAAAGAAGTATTTGTTATCACTAATCATTGAGACAGATAACAGTTGCAATAACAAGAACTCCAGAAGAACCATTTTTCAATTGTGTGAGCTTTAAAATTGTCCCTATTGTAGAAAGAAACCTGTATTTTTAAAGTATAGGTGTAATCTCTACCAGAGGGAGAAACAAAACCAGGAAGCCTCACTTGTATATGACATGATTGATCATTTTTTGGTTTTATTAGACAATCATCTGTTGATTTTGACTATAGAAATTTCTCAGGTTTAGAAGAGTTAAAAATCTATGAATACTTTCTTCATTTAAATAGATTTCCTATAACACTCTCCAGTAGATAACATAAGTTTAAGAGACACATTGACACTAAATTTATAAAGAATTTAAAAGAGTATCTAGCATTAGCACTGATTATTTGAATTGGGAAGATGTATCACAGTATGTATCAAAATGCATATTTCTAAGAAGTTCGATCAAATGTATCAAAATGTAAAAATTTGGTGTGATGAATTATGGACAAAGAAAGATGTCAGAAGAAGAACATAATAAATGGATTGTTTTTCTTGTGTAGACAAGAGGATAAGCTGCCAGTTTTGGCGAGCTACCATTCTACTACACCTGGTATTAACCTTTTATACCTTATTATTAGGGTACTTGTTTTTAGCAGTTCAATATTAGGGTATTTTCAAAGGTATCTCCTTTTAGTATTTCATCAGAGAGCTTATAACTTGGTCAGAGCATACCAAAACTCTCTAATGCATCTAAATGCTATGCAAAATACTGTTATCAGACTTATCTTCATTACATCCCTCTTTTTTTTTTCATTACACCTCTCTTAATCAAAGGAATAACTGTAATTGATTTTATGGGTTGTGTTACATGTTGTGGGAATAGAACTGCTAGTCTCTATGTGTACATTGGACTGAAAACTACCAGCAAATTCCCCTTTGGTTTTTCTTAACCTTTTTATTTAATGGCACTGGCTGAAATGCTTGCTGTTGTGCTTTTATACAAAGACAGTGTATAGTTACCTGAAAATAGAATGTTCTCACTTGTGCAATTTAGCTAGCTAGCAAAGTCAGCTGAGAGATCATACCAGAGATGTAACCTAAGCAAATGCCTACTGCAGGTGCCTCGCGAAAGCAGAGGACTGCCAGACTAGGAATATGCAGCCCCATCAGTCCACTGTAAGATGCCCCCATTTACTCTTTACCTTCTGGAATTCAGTGGACGTTTTAGGGGTATCCAAAAACTATGGGGGTGGTATTTAAGAGTATAATCTTTTGCTATCTTCAGTGATATCAGAAATTGTCACATTTTGTAATGGGTCAGTTAGTTGATTGATATTGTACATGAGTACATGGTCCTTCAAAATAAGGAGCCCTGGATATAAATAATATAATACCTCTGAACTGCTGCCTAGCCCTCAGCAGATAATTCTGGGAGGCTCCCTGGAGGTGGTGTCCTCCATTATCAGGATGGCACTTGAGACCACAAGCCTAGAGTCTCTTCCCAAAAAGGAGGCAGAATTTCAGTGTCATATAAAAGTTTGAGCTAAACTGTATGAAAATACCCATAACATGCCCTTTTCCTCTCTCCTCCATCCTTCTCTCTCTCTGGAAGTGGCATGTTCTAAAAACAGAGTTTAAGAGGGGGGAAGACCGTTAGAGCTAAAAGGGGAAAAAAGGCAGAGAAGGAAGGAAGACAAGGTAGAAAGTTGGTATCAGATATAGAGCATCTTCTTGCTTATTTCCCATTACCCTCCACCTGCAGTGGCGTAATACTGAATTCCTCCCTCTTCTTACTGAATGTCCACTCCACTCCGACGTTAAGCAAATATGCTGAGAGCAAGCCTAGTGGATAAAGCTGTGAGATATTTACTCTTGTTGAGACAATGAACATCTTTTAATATATTTTATATGTATAAGATAAATTGGGTTAACAAAAATATAGCAAGGTGCTGTCCTGCTTTATAAGACTTTTCAGTCAAGGTTTGAGTTGACATTAACTGTACCAGGCAAATATTTAAGGGTTTATGCATAGTTAAGAATTATAGCCAACTTTAGAGCCAGTGCCCTAAAGAGGATAATATTGGTGTGATTAATTCAAATTTATAATATTCTACCCAAGGATTTCCTTGAAAAATAGCTATGATCCTCATGACAGAAGTGAAGGAGAGAGAGAAGGAAGAGAGTAGAGTCCTACTAGATTCAGCCACTTCTCTCTGTTGATGTCTGTTCTCTCCTTATCTCTCACCATCCTGCATTAATGAGGTTACAGGGAAGGCAAAAATAACCCTTTTGATAATGGAGCTCAAAGAAGAAAAAACAAATGAGCAAAGCCCCATGTCAAAGAAGAAATCCCAATGTACATGGAAAACCCCAGAAATTCAATCAAGGGAGTTTGGCAGATGGGGTAGGTAATCAAAGACCCAGTAAAGAATGACAATCACTGAAGCCAGGGGGAGTAGTTGTGTAATCAGAGGATGTTTGGTGAAGAGATAACGAAGTAAAGCATAAATATGGCAGAAGATCATTCCTAAAATATGTTGACATTATGAATATAGATTTGAGCATTGAATATATATCTATACATATAAAAAGTGGAATGAAGAGTATTAATTAGTCTGTCTATATTTAGCTATAACCAGTTAAGAACAGATTTGTCATAGTTCAGAGAGTTCAGGATTTAGAGTCAGAGGTCTTCAGCTCTAGTCCTTCCACTGATACTAATGGTAATTGTCTGTGCCTCAGTTTCCTTAATTTAAAAATAGGGATAGTAATGGTGCTTTCTCTGTATATCTTCCTGAGTTTTTGAGAGAATCAAATGAAATGACAAAACTGTGAAAGTACTTTATAACCTAAAAGTTATTTTATTAATGTTTCCTGAAGACTGATATAAATTGAGATTAGAAGGAAACATGTCCTAAAGAGAAAAATCTTTAGGAATGGCATGAGTTTGGATATCAGTAAATGCTAGGATAATGTTAATACAGAAGACAGAAGAAGTTGGTCTTAATTAGCATAAAATGTATGGTTTATCCTGATAGGTGGCATTCACTCCAAATCCCATCTTCCATACCTTTGGCTTCTGGTTATAATAATTTAGGAGATGATTGAATCATCAGTGTCTTTTTTCCAAGATTCATGTCCAGTAGTTTTGCTTTAATAGTATGTGTAGTGTATCAATTAATTATACATATTCATTTTACACCACAACATCAGAACTTTTTCCAGTTTATATGGAAGAAAATTGAGATAGAATTCTAGAAGAGTACAATAAAAACTGAAAGTTTTAAGTGATCATCCTGGAAGCTGTGGTATTCATTTCATATCCAGTGCAAATAAAAAAAGAGGCAGTGACTGGGCCTGTTTTTCCGAACCCAGCTCATAGCTCAGCCAGTAACTGGGTATTATCAATAGTGATATTAGTCACACATCTTTCTGCAATCAATAAATAAAAACTGGTCATAAAGCATGATTCATGAAGAAAGTAGTTAAACTAGGACCCAGGAGTAAACACAGATCTTCATGCCAGATCTTCATCAGGGAGAGTCAGTAAGAATTAAGTGATGGATTTATTAAGAAATACTTTATATTAAATTAAAAACACCGGACTAAGATGAAAGGAATTACAATGTTTTGTTGAGTGTAGTTTACACAGAATATACTTTCTGTAGAGGAAGTCCATGTAAGGATTGTAGATGGTCTATTCTTCATACTTTTATGTTTGTTATGGACACGTATTGCCCATGTGTAACAGAAGTACGTATGGATATACTGAAGTCCCTGAGTGAATATGAATTATTTAGTCCTTATCTGGATTTTGGGTCTTACACTGTGAAAACTGTTGTCCTTTAATATAGCGGTAGGGTCAGAGCTAGCAAAAACAGTAAATGGAATTTATAAATGAACTGGGCCAATTTTAGACTGAAAAAATAACTTAGTTGCATAAAACCGTTTCTTACAGGTCTTATGAGGAGAGTGTCCTGTCCATAAGATAGAATCCAATACTTGTTCTTGACTATTAAATATATGCAGTAGTCATGTTGTCACAGTGGAATATTCTTTCAAAAATTTGTTGCCCTATTATTACTTTGCCATCTATGTCA